TAGGGTTTAGGGTTTAGGGTTTAGGGTTTAGGGTTTAGGGTTTAGGGTTTAAAGTTTGGGGTAAAGCATCCGTGGAAGGTGGGCACGGCACCTCCGAGTCGGATCGGGTGTACCGGGAGCTAATACGAAGAGGCGCCGAGCCGGCCATCATCGGCAAGAGACACAAAGCTCTCTGGCAGCTCTGGGGTTTAGGGTTTAGGGTTTAGGGTTTAGGGGTTAGGGGTTAGGGGTTAGGGGTTTAGGGTCAGGGGTTTAGGGTTTAGGGTTTAGGGTTTAGGGTTTAGGGTTTAGGGGCATCTGGTGTCGTGTAGTCCAAAAGCTGGCCCCCAAAACCATATTCCTGAGTGCAGATCTGTGCAGAGGTCGCGAGGGCACGTAAATGAATGTGAGCCAGTTGGTTGTGCGCGGGTAAGCTCAGGCGACAACGCAGGAGGACGAAGTGGAGATGGAGCTGTTCACACCTGCTGCAGCCAAGAAGGCGCGCCTCATTGCAGACGAGGCTCGGAAACTGCAATCGAACCAATGATAATGCTAGTACTAATACTAAAGCTCATACTAATGCTAATGCTAATACTAATACTAATCCGAATACGAGTACTAATACTAATCATCATCATCATAATCATAATCATAGTAATGATAATAGTGACAGCGCCCTCCAACTCGCCTTTCCTGCAGGGGCGCCGTCCTATGAGGGGAATGGGATTTCCATTTCCATCTTTCGGCCTCCTGCCAGCAGATGTCATCTTTGATCGGCCAACTACACGCTGGGCTCAACTGAATGAGGTCTTTTTGCTAGGGTTTAGGGTTTAGGGTTTAGGGGTTAGGGGTTCCGGTTAGGGTTTAGGGTTTAAGGTTTAGGGTTTAGGGTTTATATAGGTCTTTTGCCATGACATGCTCAGACCACACCTTTGAGTTGCGCTTCGGATTTGATCGCGGGCACCCCTGCTCACTGCCACTCTCAGGCTTCTTCGGCTAGCGACCCTGATTGGGTGCCTGTGTGTCGAGCGTAGCTTCAAGGGCAAGTGCTGTACATAGCCCGATGCAACTCTGCCCACTTCTTCTTGCCGTATGACGGACGTCCAGCTGCAGGTGTGACAGCTCGAGCCATGCAGCAATGCATGGTCATCATGCCCTAAACCCTAAACCCTAAACCCTAAACCCTAAACCCTAAACCCTAAACCCTAAACCCTAAACCCTAAACCCTAAACCCTAAACAACCCGAAACCCGATGTGTTAAAGACCAGGGAGTTGTGTCGATTTGCAGTGGGGATGTCCTATGATCGTTGTTTCACCGCGTGGAACACATCGCTGTCGCGCAAGCCGCTCGCTAAATCGGCCCCGAAACCCTAAGCCTTAACCCCTAAACCCTAAGCATATGTACCGGCTAGGGGCTGTTGGGGCATGCCGTAGAGGGCCAGTTGCCAGTCAGATTGACACCTGCTTGCAGCTGGCTTGCGACCCTCAAAAACCGACTTGAGGCGAGGAAAAAGGCCTGTCATTTGAGCATCGTGTGCTGCTACCATGCGCGGCTCCTGTTGGTCTGTCTTAGTTTCCGCGTTGGGGTGCGACGCTTGAACATTGCAGGACCGTTTCCGGTCCAAAGCAGCCGACGAGGACTTGCGCCTAGCTTCACTGCTGATGATCCACCCGCCAAAGCAATGGCGCTGATATGGTTTAGGGTTTAGGGTTTAGGGTTTAGGGTTTAGGGTTTAGGGTTTAGGGTTTAGGGTTTGGGTTTAGGGTTATACACAAAGGGTTTAATTACCATCTGCAAAGGTTCATGTCACTCTTGCAAGCGTTTCTTTGTGAAGCACCTGTGACCCAGCATCTCAGTCCCAAGGACGACGAGGAGGTTGCGAGCTCAGCAAGTGCTGCCGATGGCTGCCATTTGGAATCTTCATGCACGTAATTGGGCCGAATTCTGGCCCTAAACCCTAAACCCTAAACCCTAAACCCCAAGGTGCACCAGGAGCTTCAAGGCAGCGTCAGTCCAGCAAGCGACCGGGCGTCGGCCTCACTTCGGCCCTGAGAAGTTTTGGGTTTTAGGTTGGGTTTTAGGGTTTAGGGTTTAGTGTTTAGGGTTTAGGGTTTAGGTTTCGGGTTTCGGGTTAGGGTTTACGGTTTAGGGACGTCCTGAACTTCCGCCTGCAGCGTTCCTGGCGTTGAGGCTGCTGAAGAAGCCGAGGAAGCCGAAGAAGGCCGGGGCCGTTGCCCCGTTGAAAGAGCCTTAAAACCCTAACCCCTAAATGTTGATTCGCTGGGGCGGTATAGGCCAAGCTGATGCCGATTGCCCGCCTGTGCCTCGTCAGAAGCCCCGCCTCATTGTCGCAGCCTGAGATTGCGCAATGGTCTCTCCAGTGCGCTTAAACCTGCTTCCGTGCACCTCCGTCCCAGGGTGAGCATGCTGGACATCTACCTGATAGCTCCCACAATCTAGTCGAGCAGCTGATGGCGTCTCGACAGCACAAGTTCAGAGGGTTGAACAGTGCTGTCCAGGATAACTCATGATTGTCGCCGTGGTTTTCACAGCTGGAGTAATTTTTATGGATGGCACAGGATGTGGAGGCCATCATGAGAAAACATGACAGGTCCAAGTATATAGAATGCACTCATCCAACGCTTCCTTGGAATGTCCGCATGTCAGTTCCATCTTAGTAGGGTTTTGGAGGGTTTTGGGGCCAGAAGGATGTGGCAAATTATTGGTGGAACTAGCAGTGGCTATCTGTGAGTTACACCATGCTCACGAATCGCAGCTGCAGGCGCAGTATGCCAAGCTCCAGGAGCAGGCCCCCTTGAACTCGCAACTTCTCATGCCAACCCGCTTGAATCTTTCATGGTGCCTTGCATACCATGTGAGTGCTGCAGTGCCCAATGTGGCGGTTTCCGAAAGTAGGGTACCTTCTTGGGGGTCCTCATTTTTTGAGGGAATCCTCTGTTTGGGGTCGATATTGGGGGCCCCTTATTTTCGTAAGCCCACCCCATGTCTTACCCTAAACCTTAAACCCTATAAACCCTATAAACCCTATGAACCCTATAAACCCTCTAAACCCTCTAAACCCTATAAACCCTATAAACCCGAAAAGCCCAAAAAGCCCCATGAACCCCAGAAGCCCTGTAAACCCAAACGCCTAAGCTGCCCCGAAGTCTTACCCTAAACCCTAAACCCTAAACCCTAAACCCTAAACCTTAAACCCTTTTACCCTAAATGCCCCGAAGGAAGAGGAGGACACCGAGGCAGCCGCAGAGGAAGCAAAAGCTGCCGCGGCTGCAGCCTTCCGCAAGGCGGTTTTGGGGGGTTTTTGGGGTTTTTTGGGGGGTTTTGGGGCTTTAAGGGTGTTTTTGGTGGTTTAGGGGTTTGAGGGTTTAGGGTTTAGGTGTTTACGGGTTTTAAGGGTTTAGGGGGCTTAGGGGTGCAGGGAGTTTAGGGGGTTTAGGGGTTTAGTTCGCGGAGCTCCCATGTCTCCGCGTGTAGGACGCACTTAGAACAGTCAGTCCGCTCGTCATGCCTCTCACCGTGCACCCAGCAAGCACCCTAAACCCTCAACCCTAAACCCTCAACCCTAAACCCTAAACCCTCAACCCTCAACCCTCATCCGCACCGCTTTTCCGCATCGCGGGTGAGTTGTCTCCTGCCAGGCGGAAGCCTTGGATGTAGCCAGCGATGCCGCGACCCCATGATGGCCTAAATTTACGGTAGGGTTTAGGGGTTTAAGGTTTAGGGTTTAGGGTTTAGGGTTTAGAAAGCACTTTCTGACTCAGTTCCAGTAAGCCCATGAGTGTGCAGATTGATATTTCGTGTCGCCGAGGATGCAATGCTGAACTACCAGAAGGCAGCAGACAGTGGCCACATACCATTCTCAGGCGTCTCCCGAATGCTGCTGTGGTAGAAGCCAGGTTGTCAGGAGCCGGCTCAACAGGGAAGCTGTGGAGTTCCCAGTGTGCTGTGCATAGCTCTGATTCGCATGGCACTAGGCAGGGGAGCTTGTGGCCTCTAAGCCAAGGCATCCCTGGTGCGTGTTGAAGATTTAGCCTGCTTTCCGGATCGCAGAATTCCATGATGCATGTGTCTCACCCAAATCCACATTTGCGACATCCTTGTCATGCTGTACAGTTGAGCTTGGCTCTGAACGTGCGGAATGGACATAGCGCCTGCACGTGTCAGCCACGAAGCGGTCGTTTGAAGGGATGTGTAGTAGAGCTTGACCGATGTGTCGCAGGCGACAGCTACTGCCTTTGTGCATGGAGCGCCTGCGCATTTTCCATCAGGGAATGGAAGTGCCAATGTGCTGAAAGCTGAAAGAAGCAACCTTGCAATGGGGCATGGGGTTTAGGGTTTAGGGTTGAGGGTTTAGGGTTTAGGGGCATGGTGGCTGTTTCCAGTTTCTTGAGCGATGCTCCAGTCCGCCCATTCAACGCTCACGTCGTGCGAGGCCGCTGGTTCTAGGTATCAGCACTGCAGCGCTGAAGGCTTAGCGTTGTAGCAGGGCTGTTTTCAGGCACTAAACCCTATACCCTTAACCCTTAACCCTAAACCCTAAACCTTTAACCCTTAACCCTGACCCTGAACCCTTAACCCAAGCTGGCCAACCAACAGCTGCATGGACGAATCGTTGGGCGGGCGGCCATGTGGCAAAGCCTTCTGTGGAGAGGCGCAGTGTCACCGCGGCTCCTTCTCAAAGCGTGTTTTGGGCCCCGTAGTAGAAGCTGCTTGGGAGCAAAACATCCAAAAGCATAAAGTGTCATAAAGGTGGTATGAATGGAGGATTATGAACAGAGGATTCTTCTTTCAGTAAGAAATGTGATTCATGATGTCAGGATCCTAGCCTACTTTTCGTGCCCTTGCGTAGCAAGATCCTAGGGGATGGCGCGGCAGAGAGAGAGAGAGATGCCGTACAATCCTATGAATATCGTTTGCTTGGATGTTTGAGGCGAAATAGCTCGGACCAACATTGCGTGCTTGCTTGTAGAAACCAATTTCACTTCTGGCCTTGGCGGTCATGTACATGTCTATGGCTTTAATCCGTCACTCGAAAGTGTTTACGGCTTCAAGACTTTCGCAGATTCAGCTCGCGCCTGAGTTTCCGGCAGCCATGGCAGCTGTTGCAGGTGTCCAACCAAATCCAAAGCCCACAGCGCTTTCTGGGCCTGAACTACTCAAGGACGCCGCATGGTTCGATGCAAATTGGCCATTCATCAGCGCCTTTCTCTGCCCCTTTGCTTTCGTCCTTCCTTTTGTCGTGTGCAAGTTGCCCGGGAGAAAGGCCATACGTGACCCCTATGTGCTGGGATGGCTGACGGTGGCATTTTATCTTTGTCACCAGATTGAGGAGCACGCATACGACTTGCGCGGCTGGCGCTATGCCTTTGTACCCGACTTCAACCACGGGACTGGAGCGTGGCTTTTCAAGGAGTGCGAGAAGCTCGGACATAAGACCTGCCCAGCGGACCCACGTTTTGCGACCTACATCAATGTGGTTACGGTTTGGGGGGGATTTGTCGTGGCAATGCTTTGCGCGCATCATCTTGGTGGGCAGTATGCGTACGCCGGATTCTGCAACTGGGGCATGAGTATTGTAAATACAGCCACTGGCCACTTGATACCTTGGGCCCTCATGGGCTACAATCCGGGCGCCTTTCAGAGCATTTTCATGTTTGCCTTCGGGATGTACGCGCTTTCCCGTGTTGACCAGTTCTTCGCTGGCATTTGCATTGTCAATGGGCTCCTCTTCCACGCAATTTGCTTTGGTGTTGGCGCCAACTTGGTACTAAAAGCTCATTGGCCGCTGGAGATCGTGGCGGTTCTTTGCTTCATTTTCTCCACAGCAGTGCCGCTCTTACTGGCAAAGCTTTTTGCACCACAGGCCGAGAAGAGGCTTTGATTGCTCTGATGCTTTACACACCACGCTGGGAACTGGTGACGCAAGTGACCTCTTTATGCGCTTGAAGCAGCGAGCGTTCGATGAGGTCTTTTTTAGAATAGCATCTGGCGGCCGTGGGTCAAAGCAAGTGTACCGCAGCGCAAACAAAGGGCAGCATAATGATTAAGCATAGGCCATTTGTAAGGAGAGATATGAAGAGAACTCCCACTTTCGCGTCTTCTTCTTCTTCTTTGATCTCTCAATAGCCATGACTGGGCATCGCTCCTCTTTTGCAGGTGTCATCCATTGTTCGCAGACAACATGAACTGCCAGACATGCGAACTCCCGTGCTCGTTTGGTTTTCGAGAAGACCCCGGCAAACCCTACAGTAAACCCTAAACCCCAAACCCTAAACCCTAAACCCTAAAAGGTCTCGCCGGCGATGTTGAGCAGAATCCTGGCGCCTGGCGGCCGACATGCGCGGCCAAGCTAAGGGGAGTATAGAATGAGGTACCCTTTTTTCATCCCTTAAGGGGTATATATAGGGACCCCCAATTCCCTGATTCCCTACTAAGAACCACGGGGAAGATGCGGCTACGGTGGATCAGATGAGCCTGGCGTTTAGGGTTTAGGGTTTAGGGACTGAACAAGCTCTGAGTAGCACTCCTTCAACCCAAAGTGAGAGGCTGTACAGAGTACACCCGTACAGATATTTGCTAGCTGCTAGCACTGCATGCTCTACAGGTGCGCGGGTACATGGTTCCGCGGTCCTGGCAGAAAACTAGAGAGCGAGGTACATTGGCAAACGAGTTCAAGCGGAGTCCATGATAGTTTAGGGGTTTAGGGGTTTGGGGTTTAGGGTTTAGGGTCGCCCAGTTGGCCAAGGCACCGGCGAATGGATAAAATTGCCATTGCCGGGCTAGCTGCCAAGCAACATGATACCATGGATGCTGGGAAGCTGAGATTCAAAGAATGTTCGGGTGAATCTCGCAAACTTTGCTCGACCTTCTTCTATCTCCAGGCTCATACTTGAAGGTGGTGACAGCATGGGAAAGATAGCCATAGCAAGGGGTCTGTGGTTCATATAGGGGTCGGAATCATTACAAATCGTATTCCCTCATGGTCCCCTACCCCCCTAAACCCTGAACCCTGAACTCTGTCCCAATTATTTAGGCCCCTATATTCGGCCATGAGGTGGAACTGCCCATTTGCAAAAGGGGTAGCCAGTTCTGGGTGGTGGGTAGCTCTTCATTCCCATTGTGTCGTTTCGTTTACAGGGGGGCTGCGGGAGGTATATAAGGTTTTTCCTTAAATGCGTTTTTTTTTCCTTACATGCACTTGAACTCTTTGAAAGCTGCTGTCTTCCTTTTCCTTTTCGCCTACGCCTAGAGGTTTCTCACATCCGTTTATTGATATGTTTACATATGTTAATGCCTACAAGGTCGCACATATCTATACACACATATATATATACATATGTATAAACAAATAAAAATAGATAAAAAACATAAATAGATAAATAAATATACATATATATGTACATATATGTGTGTGGTGAACAAAAGACACTACCACCTTTTGATAGAAGTCAACACTCGCTCTGAGAATGTACTTTTAGTTTGTTCTTCTCTTACCTTCTTTGATTTGCATGATGATTGGCACTGTTTTGGATGAACCTATATTTCTCTTCATAGTTCGTATTCTCTTCATACTGTTCGAGTTCACACAGCATTTGTACCATTGAGTAGATGAACCACTCTCTTTTACGGACCAAAATCGATGTATTAGCCAGCGGCTTGCACTTCTTTCTCTTTTGGAGGCCACAGTCAAGACGGAGTAAGCTTTGACCCAGCCGCGTTCTAATCTATGTTAGCGTTCTCTGGAGTCATTCCAGATGACAAAGGGCCGGCTTGATCATATCCTGCGATTTCAAGACCCACAGCCCAAAAGCATGCAAAGTCGCGCGAAGCAGATGGTCCGCAGGCATGTGAGTGAGCCCTGAGAACATGCCAAACCCGCTCGTGTACATAGATGAAGCCTTGCTTCCTGGTGCTCGTCAGACGGCGAGTGGGGTGCCCAGGAAAGTTTGGGATGTCCCTCCTTATACTAGCAGTCCTTCATAGGGATTGCAGTACCCCACCCTATTGCTAGTATAAGGGGGAAAACCCTAAGCCCTAAACCCAAACCCTAAACCCTAGACCCTAAACCCTAGACCCTAAACCCCAAGCCCTAAACCCCAAACCCTAATCCCATTGGGGTCTGCTATGCGGGTGGCAAAAAAAACAAGGAAAAGTCACTGTTGGCGCCCGCACTTTCTCTCGTTTCCATTAGCACACCGACTCATCCGGCCCTAGGCTCCGTCAGAGCATGGCAGCTGAAAGCCGTGGACTTCAAGTGCCACACGAAGCTTTGCTTACTTGAAGTGAGCCATTCTGGCCATGTTACAGTTTAGGGTCTGGGGTTTAGGGTTTAGGGTTTAGGGCCTCGGTTCTTTGGGGAACAGCCATGGTCTAGCTGAAAAAGCAAAGATTCCTGCGGCTCATTGCTGAGGATGTCGGGTGACCACCGGCAAGGCGCCTGAGCTTTGAACTTTAGAGTTTAGGGTTTAGGGTTTCCTAGGTTCTGGAAAAAGGGGAGTTGAGGGGGTTTAAAAGGGTGCAAAAGGGCTGAAAAGGGGTTAGAAGGGGGAGACCCTAAACCCTGGAGGGGCCGAATCGTTGACCTCACGTGTACCGAGGCTCCTACTTCACGCCTTCCCGCGGCTCTCGGCTGAGGACCGCCACGCATACCATTGAAACCTGGAGAGCGACATTGGGGGTTTAGGGTTTAGGGTTTAGGGTTTAGGGTTTAGGGTTTTAAAGAGGGGCGGGCGCAGGTGGGTGTCTGAAAGTCAAGATGTCCAGAGCCTCGGTCAGACTTGGGTAGCTAGAAGCTTTTAGTTGAAGGTCTGAACAGCACTGACGGCTTGCGTTTGGGGCTTGGGGGTTAGGGTTTAGGGTTCAGGGTTTAGGGCTTGCCTCAGCCTACTCCTCATTCCATTCCGACGCCCACAACTTCAATAAGAAGCGCCCGAAGCAAGGGCCCTGCAGCAGAAACTCTGCGCGAGATTCAGGGATTGGAGTTTAGGACGGGCGCTTTGAGGATCCCAGCATCTGGAGGGGCATGTGCTTTGTTCTTGCGGTCGGCAACATGTCTTTGCAGGTTTCGGTTTTTGAAAAAACTCCCGGGCCTGGCCGGCTCGTCCACATCATTCTCCAACTAGCATGCGACCATGTGCATGCCCTACCTCTCAAAACTAGCAAGCGGCCGGAATAGACAGCATATGCCGCCCGCCGCATGATACGCAGTCTTAGCTAACATGCGGGAAATCATGCTAAAGTCAGCAAATGCCATGAATTGCCCTGACATAGGCTGATGGAAAATGCCAAAGAATGTTTGGCCATACTCGTGCCGTTTTAAAGGTTGGTACGCAAAGCATTGTGAGCAGCCCATTGCGAGTTCCTGACGAGGAAGCCCGAAGGCTCATTTGGGTGGCTGTCAAAATGATGATCCCTTTTGGGGTACCCTAAATATCAGGTGCGGTATTCTCATAGGGATCCAAAAAGGGACCGTCATTTTGACAACCACCCATTTGGAAGCTTTATCATACTCATCAAGAGTTAGGCAGAAAAGAGGACAAAGACGTGGCGCTTCAGCATGCGCGACAGCTGCTGGCGAAGGAGACAAACCGATCATTCTTTTGGGCAAGCTTCCTCTTTCGAGCACAGTCTTCGATGCAGCCGGCGTAAAACATCTGCGGATTTAGTGCCTGGCTGGTCACGGATGGAGCTGGAAAGCAGGCGTACCTTTGCGGGCTCTTGCGAACACCTCCTCATGCTTCCCGCCGGGAGGAAATGCCTGAACACATTCGTGTTTGGAGGTATATAATAAGTATGAATAAATGAATACGTAAATATAAAAACAAATATCCAATATTCTTGTATATATATATATACATGTAGAATATACTATGTTATGTGTTTTTCTTGATAATGTGCAGCGCCTTGTGAGATTCGGAGACACGACCGCGGAACGGCGGAACAGCTTCAGCCCGACTTTGCCCTGATTTCTGGGCTACTCATTCCCCCGGATTCTCGTCGGGTTTGCGTACCATCAAACAAACTTGCACATTATTATCATTGTTTTTCTTACTATATGTTTTAGTACTATTATTGTTATTCTTCTCCTTATTAATATGATTTTTCATAAATATGATTATGAATATGATTGTTAATATGATTATTAGTCTGATTGTTATTGTTATTGTTTATTGTTTTGTTATTGTCATTGCCACTGTCATTGTTATTGTTATTGATTTTGTTATTGTTATTGTTTTGCTGTTGTTATTGCTATTTTTTTCGTGATCATCATCATCATCATTATAACAAGAGTAATGATATATGCAATAAGTTTTAATAACATGTAACACCACCAGGACGGTCGCCGCAGCGAAGCGCCAGGGTGTGGAATGGACCTTTGCGCAGTCGCTTCCGCAGAGTTTTGGCTGCAAGGAGAACACCGGGCGTTCTGTGAAGCACCTCGGAATTCATGGGTTCCTCTACTACCCCCCTCAAATACTGCGCGCCCCTAGTTCCCCCCATAATTAAGGCTATTTAGGGACAATTAAGCCTAGTTAAGGTGACTTAACGGGGGAACCTGGCGGGGTAGTTTAGAGAGGGTCGTAGGGGAACCCATGAGGAATTCATGACACGCCCACTCTGCTGGCTGGGATTCGTTTGGAGGGAGCTGCGCACCGAGGCTTCCAGCCCCAACGGAAGTCGAGAGCAACGAAACCGAGCAGGCCCAGATCGAGGTGGTCGAGGTCGACACCCTAGAAGAGGCGCCTCCTCCGAAGGCGCAGGGGCATGGGCTGAGATGCCCCTTGGGCAGTATGCAGTGCCGAGAAGATGTCGGGCACACCATCGCCCGTGCAGGTCCAGCGCCGGAATCGGAAGCTCGCTTCTTGCAAGCATCCGGCCTTGCCTTTCTGACAGACTGAGTAACACGGGCCATGGTCGAGTGGCTTCGAGGGCTCAGCACAGCGGCATGCCTTCCTGACAGCTTGTCTCACCAAACTTTCTGCAGTGATGTGTCATGGTAGGATAAGGGGGGACCCTGAAAAGGGAACCCTTCTGAACCCTCTTCTGGCCCTCTTAAACAGGGACCTTATTCAGAGGGTCCTTCTCCCCAAGGGCCCCCCCTAATACAGTCCCCTGTCATGCAAGCGTAAGGCCACCATGCCAGCGCGCATGGGGCCAAGGGAAGAGCGCCACGGCTGCATTGGCTGAGCTGCAATCCTTCTCGCAAACCCTGTGCCCTAAACCCTTTTACCCTAAACCTTATAAGCCCGAAACCCGATATGCCTCAATTCTAAACCCTAAACCCTAATCCCTAACCCGATATCCAATTCTAAACCCTAAACCCTAAACCCTAAACCCTACTCCCTAAGCCCGGGGTGCGCGGAGGCTAAGCAGTGCACGGCTGAGCGATGGTGGCAAGGATGCCAAAAACAAGGAGTCGCATGAAGCTTCACGCAGCCTTCCTGACCCTAAACCCCAAACCCTAAACCCCAAACCCTGAGCCCCCTAAACCCCAAACCCTAAACCCCAAACCCTCTGGAGAGTTTTCAGTGCACCGGTGACGTCGGTTTGGCCCTGCGTAGTGATGCTTGGGTGTCTGAAGTTGGGGAGGCAAAAACCCTGAACACTAAACCCGAAGGGAATCCTCCGATGAAGTTGGAACGATACAGAGAAGACGAACATGGCCCCTGCGCAAGGATGACGTGCACAAATCGAGAAGTGGCAAAAGAAAAACCTACACCCCAGCCCTAAACACTAAGTCCGAAACCCTAAACCCCAAACTTAAACCCCAAAGCCATCCCAAGCCCGAATTTCTGACAGGACAAGGCTACAGAAACGGTAGCACAGCTCAAGGAGTCACTGTTGAAGTCGTCGCCCAAGTTGCCCGAAGGGTTACAGCCGGGTGGGAGTACTGGGCGCGGTCCTGCTCTGTTGAGTGTTTAGGGCTTAGGGTTTAGGGTTTAAGGTTTTGAGTTAAGGGCTAAGGGTTCAGGGTTTAGGGTTTAGGGTTTAGGGTGGTGTGATCTTTTCCTCCTGGTTCTTTGTCAGAAGGAAATGAGGGAGTTAGGGCCCTCCTGAAGGGAGTATATTGGGTACCTCATTCCCTGATTCCCTACTAAGAACCAGCCAGTGTTTAGAAGAATTTCTATTTCAGTGATAGGGTTTGTCGCCCTAAACCCTTAGCCCTACGGCTGCTGTGGCGAGGCCTGTTCCGTTGATGTCTTTCGATAGTCTTTGGAGGTTGCACAGACGACCACATTAAGCTCATGAGGTCTATTCCTCCGTTGTAGTAATCCACAAGTGTTTTGCTTCTGGATTGTCCATGGGACCGCTTGCATAAACCCTAAACCCTAAACCCTAAACCCTAAACCCCAAACCCCAAACCCTAAACCCTAAACCCTAAACCCTAAACCCTAAACCCTAAACCCTAAACCCTAAACCCCGAACCCGTCACCCCCATGCGAAGCCTGGGAGACGAGGCTGCCACCAGCAAGGCCGATCACCTTGAATGCTGCAGGAGAGCCCGATCTGCCGGCCCCTCGCCTCGAGAATAAGGGTTTCGGGTTTATGGTTTAGGGTTTCGGGTTTAGGGTGTAGTTCGGGTCGCACCTGGTAAAATGTGAGCCCCTGCACAGAATCACTCAGTTTGGAGCAGTGCACGGATACATCGTCGCGCTTCAGTGAGTTGGACACTCTCTTTGACAGCTGGATCCCCTTATGGCTCTCTTGTCTTCATCCGAGATTGTCATGCGGAAGAAGTCCAAGAACGTCGCTTAGCAGCATCCGGGACATGAACTGCAAGCCGGCGGGTTTAGGGTTTACATGATACATATCTCTCTCTCTATATATATATACACATACCTTTATGTTCATATGTGTACATGTATACATTCATGGATATACATATGTATATATGACAATATGTAGATATGTTCATATACACATATGTATATCTATATATGCACATATGTATGTATACACACATACACACATACACACATACACACATACACACATACACACATACACACATACACACATACACACATACACACACACACATACACACATACACACACATACACACACATACACACATACACACACATACACACATACACACCTATACACACATACACACATACACACGCACACATACACACATACACACATACACACATACACACACACACACGTCACACATACACATATACACACATACACACATACACACACATACATACATATATACATACATACATACATACAAACATGCATGCATGCATGCATGCATACATGCACACATACATACACACATACATACCTACATACCTACCTACATATATATATATATATATGCGTATATATTTCTATATATATACATGTGCAGAGATGTAGATACACATATACATTCACACACACACCCACATATATATATATATATGTATTTATATGTGTGTATACATATATAGGAAACGCTCCAGTCCTGAGGTGACGATGCCAAATCTGACGGTTCCTCCATTGCTTTCACGTCAAGGAAGCAAGATATCAGCAAGATAAGCATGGGCCATTGACCTACTTGGAGAAGATATGTGCCTGCTCTTAGACAGCGACTGCTGACGCACTTGGCACAAGCCTCAGAATAACAGGGTTTTTCGCGGCCCGAGTGCGGGCTGCCACTGGGCAGCTGCTTCGAAGAAGCTGCGGGCCCAACGCAGTTCCGGGCATGCAAGGACACTTTGCAAAGCAAAGGCTTATTTATGTCAGGGTTTAGGGTTTCGAGGGTTTAGGGTTTAGGGTTTAGGGTTTACGGTTTTTTTGGGGTCAGACTCAGGGGCCAAGTCGGGCCAAGCGTGTGCGTATTACGTGCTGGCGCCGGTAGGGCCATGAACTTCATCGGCACCACGTGCGATATCCACGAGAGGCGGTTCTTAGACTAACTAGCTAGACCCTAAACCCTAAACCCTAAACCCTAAACCCTAAACCCTAAACCCTAACCCCTAGAAATTTGGGAGTTTACGAAAACAAGGGACCCCTAGTATAGAGTCCCAGATTCTGGGCCCAGATAGTAGGATCCCTTTGTAAAGAGGACCCCCAATACGGTACCCCAATCATCGTAAACCCCTATTTCTGTGTCATCATGAAGCACGTCGTCCTTATTGCGCGACAAGGCGATGCCGACCTGACGCCCACTAAACGTGGTTTGAGGAAAAACGGCCGGCTTATGTGCAGCTTCTGGGAGTCAGCCGAGACGATGTCAAAGCCGGGTCTGTGCATCCAATCACCAAAGTGTGCAGCAGGAAAGCTCCGTAGCCCAGAGGTGCCCTTTACCCCTCTTTTGTGGTTCTAGGTTCCTTGATAAAGTAACCTTTTGTGGTAGGTTCCTTGATAAAAAAAAATCAACCCCAAAGAAGGGAACCCTCATTTTGTATGGTTGCTGGATGTTACTGGGCTGCCGAGAAGGCTGACGAGGCGTTCTCAGACAGTTGCCACGAAAGCGAGAGAGAGCTGAGATGTTTGGCTCAAGCAGCACGTCGAGGTGCCCCAGGGTTTAGGGTTTAGGGTTTAGGGTTTAGGGTTTCAAGCCTAGTCCAATCCAATGCCAATGACCTCTGCAGCATTCCCGTGTGAGCTCTCGGGCGTGCCGGCAGCTGTTGTCATACGAGACTGGGCTGCCGTGTAAGACCTTAGTTTGAGCTTCCAAGGTTTAGGGTCTAGGGTTTAGGGTTTAGGGTGAAATTCCCAACAGCTACACTCATGGGTTCCCCTACTACCCCCCTCGAAACTACCCCCGCCCTAGGTCCCCCCCCCTTAAATATCCTTAACTAAGCCTAATGATCCCTAAACACCCTAAACCCTATACACAGGAGACATGGTGGCTCGGGGCCAAATGCCAGACTCGCATCGCTGTCTTCGGCTGGTCTCCAAACTGGGGGTGGGCCTGGCAGCAGCATCTGCTGAGGGGGTGAACCTCGACGGCTCTTGAGACAAGTTGCTGATGACTACATCTCATTTTTTGGGATCCTCATTGAGATGGCTCTATGTCAAATAATTTCCTTTTTGAAAGGCAGGCCCTAAACCCTAAACCCTAAACCCTAAACCCTAAACCCTAAACCCTAAACCCTAAACCCTAAACCCTAAACCCTAAACCCTAAACCCTAAACCCCCCAAACCCTACTGCCCCACTCCGAAGCTCCCAGTTCAAGCAGTTCCCAAGAGCTCCCGGTCGCAGCAAAGAGGAGCCAGGCCGCCTCGCGCATGTTTTTGGCCCTTGGCTGGATGGAGAGCCTCTGCCAGGCTGGGGTTTAGGGTTTAGGGTTTAGGGTTTAGGGTTTAGGGTTTAGGGTTTAGGGTTTAGGGTTTAGGGTTTAGGGTTTAGGGTTTAGGGTTTAGGGTTTAGGGTTTAGGGTTTAGCGTTCGGGGTTTAGGGCTTAGGGCCCGAAACCCCAAACCCTGAACCCTAAACAGGCTGGGGCAGACATGGATATTGGCCGCGCCTGCTGCTCCATGGTCTCCATCTTCCACCGCCGTGGCTTAACGGATCCTTAGTGGCGGAAGGAGTACGCTGTACACTTCTTTGGGATACGAGAGTACTACAATCCCCGACCGAACTGAAAGTGTCCTCTCTTTTTTGGGGGGCTATAGTGCTATAATACTATAGTACTATAATACGATAGTACTATAATACGATAATACTATATTACTATAATACTATAATACTATAATACTATAATACTATAATACTATAGTACTATAATGCTATAATACTATAATGCTATAATACTCTAATACTATACTACTATACTACTATACTACTATACTGCTATACTACTATACTACTATACTACTATGCTACTAGTGTCCACTTTTTTTTGGGGGCTTGTGAACTCAGCAAGGATCTGGTGCTGCAGGCCATCGGGTGGCTTCAGCACCGGAACTGTGAGATGCCAGTCTGCACTTTGGCCCTGGCAATCGACGTGTGCCTTCAAGATGGCCGCCTCTAGGTGAAACAGGGTTTATATTTCTGTTATGGGTGAGTGTACACAAGGTTCCTTTTTGAATTTTAATATTGGTGAGTGCATATATATATATTTGGTGTCCTTTTGGGAGTACAAGAAATGTAAACCCTGCTTCAGGTGGGCCCTTGGGACATGTTGGTTGTTTTCCCTACTTGGGTCTAAGGGGATCATGTATTTGGGAAGCTGTTCTCCCTACTTGGGTTGAAGAGGATCCATACCTTCGGAGAGATTTGTTTACGGAGGTTTCTGAGGGCCAGCCGAGGCAAACCCTAAACCCTAAACCCTAAACCCTAAACCCTAAACCCTAAACCCCAAACCCCAAACCCCAAACCCCAAACCCCAAACCCTAGGCCTGTCGGAAGGGAAGGACCTCTTCAAGGAAGCTCGGAGGATCCTCGGGCGGATGCTCGCAGCGCCTCCGGAAAGGGCGAGAGGATACGCCGGGCGCGCGGGCGCCGCGAGGCAGGGTTTAGGGTTTGGGGTTTAGAGTTCAGGGTTTAGGGTTTGGGGTTAGGGTTTAGGGTTTAGGGTTTAGGGTCCAGGGTGTAGTGCGGACGCCGCGAGGCAGTTGGATGACGAGGACGAAGATCCGGATGACAGCGCCCTCAATCGGTCCAGTGGTGCCAACCACTCCCCAGCACTTTCGGCCAAAGCAGGTCCAGACTCTTAGTAGCTGAGTGAGCACACTTTACACTTTTTGGGATACTATAGTCCCCGATAGAACTCAAAGTGTCATTTTTTGGGGTCTTATGAACTCAGCAACTAAGGACTTGCCAGCGGACAGAAACACGCTCTGCACAGATGGCCTGCCAAACTGGCTCAGCTCCCGCGACTTACTGTTGGTTTAGTAGGGAATGAGAAAAACGAGGCACCATGTTTCCCTCCGCTCCCCACCCCCCCCCCCAAAAAAAAAAGCAAGAAAAAAAACAATATATATATATATATATGTATATATACATATATGTATATATATATATACATATATACCCTTTAAGGGATTGTGTGGGGTACCTCATTCCCTCGTTCCCTACTAAGCAACAGTAAGGCGAAGGTCATCTCATGGCACTGATTGCGGGGCACGTGGCTGTCCTAAACCGCCTGGCGCCTCTGGACCCAAGCCACTGGAAGGAGACCTCGGATCCACTTAAGGGGTTTCCGAAAACAGGGGTAAAGAAGGTATCCTTTTTTGGGGGGTTCCTAGAAGAATCCTAGTATTTGGGGGGATATTCGGGGCACCCCTATTTTGCACAAGAAATTTGCCGCCATAAGCCAGCCAGGACCCTATGTACGCCGAGAAGCTCTCTGACGCAGGGGGAGTGGAGCTGGCGTGGGTGAAGGAAGTGATGCAAGATGGCCTGGAGCTGCTTGAGCCACTGGCCTCAACCAGTCCAGGGCTCTGAGCGGTTTGGGGTTTCAGGGCGCCGTCCTTGTTTGAAGGGTTTAGGGCTGTGAAGGGTCTTGGGGTTGGGGGTTTGGGGTTGAGTGTTCAGGGTTTAGGGTACACAAAGTTTCTCGCTTTGCCACTCTTTGGCATCCTCCCAAGAAACAGGTCGCTTTGCAGGGAGGTGCAGGAGGAGGGCCCGGACGGAGCGAGATCTTGCTTCCTGGGACCATGGGAGACGGTAGGCGCGATGGTGTTCTGAGCCAGAAGGGTTAACCAGGACATTCCAACAATCTGAGTTCACCTGAACAGTTCTGCATCCCGAACGAGAATCCCGTGTGAAGAAACGGGAGAGATCTCTGAATGAGACCTGGTCCCAGATTACAATAAACAGGAACCATGCCTTCGAGTAGCATAACTTGACGATCCACGGAGTCTCCGCCTCTTAAACCCTAAACCCTAAACCCTGAGCCCTAAGCCCTAAGCCCTTAACCCTTAACCCTTAAACCCTAACCCCCCCCCCCTTTGTTGCTGGTCCTACTCCGGGGCCCTGCCCTCTAAACCCTAAACCCTAAACCGCAAAAAAATCCCTAAACCCTGAACCCTATAAACCCTATAAACCCTATAAACTCTATAAACCCTATAAACCCTATAAACCCTATAAACCCTATAAACCCTATAAACCCTATAAACCCTATAAACCCTATAAACCCTATAAACCCTAAACCCTATAAACCCTATAAACCCTAAACCCTATAAGCCCTATAAACCCTATAAACCCTATAAACCCTATAAACCCTATAAACCCTATAAACCCTATAAGCCCTATAAACCCTATAAACCCTATAAACCCTATAAACCCTATAAACCCTATAAACCCTATCAACCCTATAAACCCTATAAACCCTATAAACCCTATAAACCCTAAACCCTCTAGACCCTCTAGACCCTATAAACCCTAAACCCGTCGGGGATCATCCGATACAATTGGAACGATACAGAGAAGCTTAGCATGGCCCCTGCGCAAG